TTCGATCTGTGAATTAGCCGTGCCCTGACTTAAATCAGCCCAGAGGTTATTTCAGATGCACCAACTGATCATTGTTAGGATTCAAAAAGTAAAAAGAAGGATAAAGATCTATTTACCCTGGAGCAGCTTTGTGCGCAGCTTCAACAGCGTCCCTGATGTCTTTTCTGTTGCCGTCAGATACTTGTGCTATCACCTCCCCTGACGGGTTCATGATTGGTCTCGAGTAGTTGCCATCTGGTCGCTTTTGTGCTCCTCCAATGTACATCTTGTAGGTGTGATCAATACTGAAGATATTTTAACATCAATATTCAAAGATTTAGTTTATTCTACCAGGATGAATTTGTTTTTAATTGAGGTTATTTACCTTACCACTACTAAAGTCATCTTCGTCACCATCATCATCCATCACTGTGTATTATCATCCCCATCTTTATCATCGGCATCGGCATCGCCATCATTATCATCATCGCCATCACTATCACCATCTTGACTATCATTATGACTATCATCATCACCATCATTGTCGTCGTCATCATCATTGTCGTCATCATCATCATTGTCGTTATCATCATCATCATTGTCGTCATCATCATCACCATCACCATCATCATACTTCTCATCATATCAACCATTCAATCATTCAACCATTCCACTGAATATTTTACCATCTCATCATATCAACCATTCAATCATTCAACCATTCCTCTGAATATTTTATCATTATCATCATGTATTATTATCATCATCATCATCACCATCATCATTATCATCATCATTATCATACTTCTCATCATATCAACCATTCATCTGAATATTATACCTTGGAGTTGTTACCCCATCTTTGTTCTCTTTACCAGCAATCTTGACAGGATTCTTGTTCGGGTTCAACACTGCTGCAGGGGTAGTAGAACCAAACTTCTTGATATCATAGTCTTGTACGTTTGGTTGTGGTCTCTCTTGCCAGGCAGGGCAGACATACTCGTACAATCCCTACACGACAACCAAGCAAATACAACACTATTGGTATTTCATGAATTCAGACAATCTTCTCCAATAAACTTTATTCGTTTGGGTCTAATGTTTTCCATTTCAGACCACATGTCATTCTCTAGAGTATCATTTCTTTGTTTAACAGTTATAAATCAGAAGACAGAGYAATAGACCTCTTTACCTTGGGCGTAATGTTTTCCCATTTCAGACCACATGTCATTCCCTAGAGTATCATTTCTTTGTTTAACAGTTGCAAATCAGAAGACAGAGTAATAGACCTCTTTACCTTGGGCGTAATGTTTTACCATTTCAGGCCACGTGTCATTCCCCTGAGAATAAAATTCTTTGTTTGAGTTGTATCCCTATTCATGTGTTAAACCATTAAACAAAGAAATGATACTCTAGAGAATGACACGTGGTCTGAAATGGGAAAACATTGCACCCAGACAAATGAGGTCTATCCAAAAGTATAAAATATCTTTTTGCCAAAATATAATAAAACATAGAAGAGTAGTAAGTCTCAAATCTGTTTCTTTAAACTTTCAAAGCTTTCAAATTTTATCGATACCCTGAAACAATGGATCAAATTGGGATTTAGCTTGTTAAAGTTATGCAGAGGGAGTGTCCGTGTCACAGATAATAGTATATTTATCTATTATATAGTTAGGATAGTACGCGAGCGCTTATTGGTCGAAAACTGTGCTTTATTAGTGAACGGAGCACAGTGCTGACGCCATCCGCGCATGTGAAGTGCTGCTAGATCCTGCGACCGTCTTTCTTTTTGCGTAAATAAATTAAATACCGAAAAAAAATAGTAGCTATATAATAAAACGAATAAAACAGCTTTTCCGTGCTCCGTTCATTAATAAAGCACTTAAGAAGTGCCGTAAGCACTCAAGAAGTGTTAGAAGCATTCTTCTACGGCCCGGGCTTCTTCTTACAATTCTTTTGTGCTTATGCCTCTTCCTGCGTGCTTTATTACTGAACGGAGCACGGAAAAAGCTGTCTTATTTGTTAATTATTTTAATAAGCAATTATTGGATGAGCTTGAGCATGATATCGTAAATTATCAAGACCGAGGCTTCGGCAGGTAATACAGCCAAGGTCTTGATAATTTACGATATTATGCGATAACCGAATTCAAYAATTGCTTTATTATACATTTTGTATACTGGAAAAACATTAACATGAACATTAAATTATAGAGACAAGAATTATGAACGCCATGATGTCGCGTGAAAAACGCAAAATTTTTAATTTAGAAATATTTTAAGAATTCTTCATAAAATATATGAAAATAAGTTAAGGATTCCTTAAATAATTGTTTTTGTACATAATTCTGGAAATAAATACACATAATGAATAAAAACAAAGCTACCACAGCGTGAACTTGAATGAACTTGACATGATAAATGTACTATCTGTAGGAAAACCTTATTTATCATGTCGAGTTTACACGATATCAGGGATTGGCTGAGGGCTCTCGACCAATCAGATTTGAGATACTTTGTAAAATGTAATGTAATCTAATGTGCTTCCTCGAGGGAAGCGCCTAGCATGGGACTTAAAGTTCCGTTCGCACTATTAAAGAACCTGGAGAAACATCCTTGAATCAAATGGTTTCAGAGTATCGATACAATTTCAAGGTCTTGAAGGTCTTGTTAACTAACCTCTTTTCCTCCATCACGTCCATATCCACTCTCTCTGTACCCTCCAAACCCAGCCGCAGCATCAAACAGGTTGTGTCCATTTACCCACACTGCTCCCGCTTTCATACTCATAGCCACCTCTAGACAGAGAGACAGGTTCTCACTCCACACACTTGCTGCTAGACCATAGTTGGTGTTATTGGCCAACGCAATAGCTTCTTTTGGTGTTCTGAATGTTAGTACGACAAGGACGGGACCAAACACCTGGAATCAATATAAAATCCAATTTGATAGAGAGAGTAAGAGAAAAATATCAAATGCTCTTGGCGGGAATCGATTAATCAGCATATAGCTTACAAGTACAGAGTTCTCAGATTTTAAAAAACCCCAGAAAGACAACAAAATGTCCAGACTTGCATACCTCTTCAATGACAATCTTGGAGACTGGTTGGACATTTGTTATAAGGGTGGGTGGGTAGAAGCAACCACTAGATGGCTTACTGGCATAGTCTTGATAAACCTATAACACAACCATAGATCAAAATTTAATATAAAATGAATTCTGGATTACAAGATTTTGAAGGCTTATGAAGACGTAATCACTGTCATTTGAAATTTGCAAATGGAAGATTTCGCACCAAAAATTTAAGTTTAGTGAAATTTCTTCAAATTTTGCATGTGGCTTCATATCTTCCTGAAAGCATATATTTAGGAAAAAGTTTAAAAACTCTGTAGAAAGAAACTTAAGGAAACAAATTTAATTTAATTGATTTTGATGACAAACTCCCTCTCAGAATTTTTTTTCATCGAATGGGAGATTTGAATACAAAGTTCTGGTTATTTAAAAGATTATTATTTGGTTAGTCATTAACATATTGGGAATATAAACCTTCGTATCTCAAAGACCCGTCATTCAAATGACGAATTATTTTCACAATCAACTATTCACTATTTAAAGACTCGATTTTGAAAATATTGTGTAAAGGCTTATAAGCACTTTAATGGCAAAAAGGTTCAACTTTAYGATCTCTGACTTTTCAGGTTTACATGCTGTCATACCATGGCTATTTAAAGTTCTGTGAACTATTTTTATGTTGTGATCAAGTGTACGTTAAAGCTTTACAGCTTCCTTTTAATTACAGTAACCTGGAAAATACTTAAAAGTAAATGGTAATAATTGTATCAATACCTCTGCCCCATCAGCTATGGCTTCTTCAACAAATTTCGACACAGAATTCAGCTGAGTTTGGTCGACAAGAGCTCCCATGTCGATACATTTATCGAGGGGGTCACCTAGTCGTAGATGGGACATGCGCTCTTTGAGTTTTAGAATCATTTGTTGTGCAACTGTCTCTTGGACAATCAACCTTGAACCAGCACTGCAAACCTGAATGAATATCAATGAAACTTCATGATGAATTTATGCATTTAAAGTAAACCAGCTCAAACGTTCCTATCAAGGTTGCAAGATTCGCAGTTCATTATTCGAAATTCGATTTCAAATTTGCTTTAAAACTTGCATTTCAATTAACAAACATTAAAAAATTCAAATCCCGGCATTACGGCACCTCAAAGTGCTCATTCTATCTAGTTTGTGAATGGAGTTTTTGAACAAAGTATCACACCACAGAGATAATAATGACATGATAGCTACAGCAGTTATAGAAATTCCCGAAATTCCCAATTTGGGAATCCGGGTTTTTTTCCTGTAATACCTGACCCTGGTTGAACCAGATGGCATCTACTACTCCCTCCACAGCACTGTCAAGATCAGCAGATTCAAATACTATGACATACCTGACCCTGGTTGAACCAGATGGCATCTACTACTCCCTCTACAGCACTGTCAAGATCAGCAGATTCAAATACTATGACATACCTGACCCTGGTTGAACCAGATGGCATCTACTACTCCCTCCACAGCACTGTCAAGATCGACAGATTCAAATACTACGACATACCTGACCCTGGTTGAACCAGATGGCATCTACTACTCCCTCCACAGCACTGTCAAGATCAGCAGATTCAAATACTATGAATGGTGACTTTCCACCAAGCTCAAGGGACAGTTTCTTCCCAGTGCCTGCTGTTAACTGCCGCAGAACCTTTCCAACCTGCGAGACAGAATTATAATGTTTGTTTAATCTTTATGCAGCATGCAGGATGATGTCATAAGTTATCATGACGTGTTATCTTTATTCAACATGTTCACATCAAAATGAGCCGCCAGACTGCACCCAAATGCACCATTGCCACGGCATCAACAACCCCAGAAGGCAATGTAGAGTTGAGGTTTGTCCAATCAGAATCAAGTCATTTTGTGGAGTGTATTATGAATACAATAATACAATACAATAACCTTTAGTGCAGTTTTCGTATGACTGTGAAAAGCTCAAGGCACAAACACAGTCGTGACACAGCAAGGCATATTCCAGACCAATCACATTGCACAAGAATTTACTCTCCATCCAATCAAATGCCCAAAACACGGCATAAACACGGCTCAGACATGGTAACGCCAATGTTATGGCACTGCCAGACCAATCACATTGCGCGAAAAAAATAAGCCAAGTAAAATTCTAGAAAACATCATGGTCCTGGCACGGCACAAATACGGCACTGAGCTTTTCACAGTCATACGAAAACTGCTCTATTTACCATGGTCAATGTACTGAGCTAACAGCTACTTTACAGACATGCCACATTAAGTATAAATGTGAGTATGATATACACCTACTTGCAAGAAGGTTGTCATACAAGAATAGAACATTAGTAATTTAGTGAGAAAGGAATACATTAAAATACAAACGAAAAAGTTCAGCTTCAGTGATCTTCTTTTGTTTTTTAATATAATTTCCTATCCCACTAAATCACTAATGTTCTATTTTCGTATGACAACGTTCTTGCAAGTAGGTGTTAGACTATAAATGTGGAACCCAATATACAGTACACTGGAGCCAAGAGTCTGGAATATTTATCTCGTTTTTATGACATTTACCCCTGTTGAGCCAGTGAATGCGACCTTGTCCACATCAGAATGAGTTGCCAGACTGCTCCCAAACGCACCATTACCAGTGACGACATTAAAGACCCCAGGAGGTAGCCCTGCCTCGGCACAAATCTCGGCAAAGAGTAGAGCAGACAAGCGGGTGTATGTAGCAGGCTTGAGGACGACTGTGTTCCCCATAGCTATGGCTGGACATACCTTCCAACACAGGAGCATTAGTGGAAAGTTCCATGGGACGATTCCTCCAACAACTCCCACTGGCTTCCAACCTATGAATGAGAAAATGGTATATTTGAACTACTATAGTCTGGTGAATCCCATTGCTATGCACTGCTCAACACAAGTCATTTCAAGTTTATTAACGATTGCCCTATTTCACTATGAAGTCACTGCTTGATTATATGGGGGATAGAATCGCCAAATCCAATAGAAAATTCAATAAAATTTGCTCCTAGCGAAACAGTTTAATCTAAAATGGCCTGGTTTTCAGATATAATATGTGTTAATATGTACTAAAAAAATATTCTGAGCATTTGCGGCTATTCTACTTCTCTTCGTTGATTGATACGGGTTTTAGAACAATTTTTGGTGAATTTGCATTGGTTTGACCCCCTCCGACGACCATGATCCTTTGCGTTTAAACAATAGATTGTTTTGATGTGACGTCATAGTGAAATTAGAAGGCCTTCAGCCTCATGGGCTAATTGACTCCTAAGCCATATGGGCAATTTTCTTTTAGCCCAAGAAGGGGGATGGGGGGGGGGGGGGTACTCCCATATATGGACCATACAGGGATGATCCACTGAACAGGGTATGGTTTTTCGAGCTCCTTATCATAAACAGGGTATGCAATTTCACTTGAGTTCCAAGTTCTTCCTGAGTTTCCTGTCATATTCAGGGATTCTACTTTCGTATTGACCAAAACTGGTTATTATGGTCGTAAAAAAATGACATGATAAATGAAACAGGAACTCAGTGCAATAAATTATATCTTTTGTCATAAACAGGGTCTACAAATTTGAGTTTATCATAAACAGGGTACCCCTTTCAGAATCCCAGCAGAACACCCCTATACCCAAATTCTGGCAGAGTACCCCCCCCCCCCGCGCGGGTCTTTTAGTAATTAAACTACAAATTTATCAAATACAAAATATCTTGAAATTAGGTTAAAATTATATATTTTTGCATTACAAGAGTAAATGGTTTGAATCCAGGTGTTGAAGTTTGTTGTGAAGTGATTGTCCAGGTGAGCATGGTCTTGAGAAAGACTGTTGTTGTATGGTGGTGACTGATGCTTCCACAACCTGAGTGGAAGTCATCTTCAGAGTCCAGTGAGAAAACAAAATGCATTGTATTTTTCTCAAAATCGACACTTTTCACTACTAGTGGTCTATTAGAGGGTAACTGCAGATGACTGTGAAAAGATAAGGACCTGTTTTGTCAGGGAATAAACTTGGTCCCGTCAACTGTCAGCTTCAATCAAATAAGGAATTTAGCATAAAATTCATTGGAGTTATATTCCCAATAACTAGAACTAATTACTAACCTTTCATCTCAGTGTCCATCAGTTGTGCCCAGCCCGCATAATGATATAGATGTCTTGCAACGTTTGGTATATCGCAATCACGAGTCTCTCGGATGGCCTTGCCATTATCCATACTTTCAAGTACAGCAATCAACCGAGCATGCTTTTGCACGTGACGAGCAATGCTGTACATGTACCTTGCACGCACATGGCTGGGTGTTTTACTCCAGCTCTGAAATGCTTCTCTTGCTGCTGATACGGCTTGGTCTACATCTTTTTTGTCTCCTTGGATCGTTGTTGCAAGAACTTCTCCTTTAAAATGAATAAAACATTGGTAGAACATGGTTATCTTTTCAATGACATATAATCTAGAGATCTTGAAATAAGTTACTCCTGAGGTGTTACAGCATGAACTATGCACAAGCCAGTTAAGTGTTACAGCATGAACTATGCACAAGCCACTTCAGTGCTACAACATGAACTATGCACAAGCCACTTCAGTGTTACAGCATGAACTATGCACAAGCCACTTCAGTGTTACAGCATGAACTATGCACAAGCCACTTCAGT